GGACGATCTCGCAATCGACTCCCGCCTCCTCGACTTGTGGGTCACTTGCATGGCACACACCAACCATTTACATAAGCAACGTCATAACCATCGCTTATTTCACCACATCGCATACCTTGATAGTGCTATTGAGCAACATACCACCATGCTTGCACGCCAACAGTGGAAACTCTGCTCAGGGCTCTCCGGTGAGTTAGACTGTAAGCAATCTTGCCATGTCCTCCACCACCTCCTCGATTCAGCTTCCGCCAAGTCTGTCGCTCGGCAGCAGCTACAACAAGTGGTCCGGACCAATCCGATGACACGCCGTCACTGATGGCAGACCTGACTGCAAAGTACTTCCAGCGTCTGACTCCTGGTGTACATTATGCCTCTCTCGCGCACTACACTGGGGCCCCCAAACCAGACCTCGACGCCGACATCATGGTAGCAGAGGTCTACACGGCATTACAGAGGCTTTGTCTACCACTGCACCCGGTTTAGATCGCATCCCCAACAAGCTCCTCCTGAATCTCGACGCTCCTTCGATCACTACCCTCACTTCTTTTCTCAACGAGCGCTGGTGCTCCGGCAACCTACCCCAATAATGGAAACACGCTGGCATGGCTTTCTTTCCACGCCTGGAAAAACACTCACAATCGAGAATTTTAGGCCTATTTCTCTCACTTCGTGCATCAGCAAGCTTCTGGAGCACGTTGTTATCGGTCGCCTACCAACGTACACGGACGCTCACCATCTCCTTCTCCACAACTCGCTAGGATTCCACGCCGACCTCTCGACGACAGATGTCCTCTTGCAACTCCACCAGGACCTCCTCGACCCACCCACATATTTTCAGGCACTAAGCCTCTCCTTAGCCTTGAGCTTTACAACATGTTCAACAACGTCTTTCTATTGGCTATTCTTGCTTAACTCTCAGTCCTCAATCACGGCACCCACAACTGCAACTACATTCGCACGTTTCTCACGGCCAGCATGACTGAAATCATCATAGGGAACCTCCCGTCTCCCACGCACGAGCTTTGCCTTCGCGGCACCCTTCAGGGTGCGGTCTTGTCGCCTTTTATGTTTAACCTTACCATCCGCTTGCTCCCTGAAAAGCTCGGCCATATCCGTGGTCTCAAACGCACCCTGTACGCTGACGTCACCCTTCGGTTCATATCGGGCCATGATGGCCACATCCATCAGACATTGCAACGCGCAGCCGACATCGTGACATTCCATAAGCACGCGGCCAGCCTCACTACCTCGGCGGCCAAATTGTCCCTTGTTCTCATGCGGCCTCCTGAACGCCGTCGCTACGAAACGCCTCACCCTACCATCACTGTGCACGTCCACCCCACTCCCGTATCCATAGTTTCTTATCTCCACGTGCTTGGGCTGATACTACAGTCCAACCGCCATAACGCATACACCATCGACAAGCTCTCGCTATCGGTGGAACAGACCACGTGAATGCTCGCCTGTGTCCGCGCGCGGCATGCGGGCTTGTGAGAACACGATTTTCTTTGCCTTGTCGACGCCTTCGTTGTTTCCCGCATCACGTACGGCCTTCTTTCTACTCGACTCCTCAAGTCTGAATGTGACGAAATTGACGGTCTATCCATCGGTCATACAAGACTGCCCTCGGCCTTCCCTTGAACACGTCTAGGCATCGTCTTCTACGCTTTGGTATATACAGCACCCACAACGCCCTATACCATTCGCCACATTCATTCCTCCATCAGCCACCACACCTTCTCCCAACCTCGGGATCTAGTTTCACTGCCCTGTGCTGCTCTAATGGCCTTCTGTATCAAGTCGCTGCCTATAGAATATGCTTGCGGGCCACCAGGACGCTCGCCGCCAAGCCCGGTGACCTTGCTTCACGCCACATCACTGACCACCCGGCCGTTGCCTACGTGGATGCGGCCCGTTACAATTTACTTAGAACCGCCTTGCTAGTAGTTTTTGTGTCACCTTCCTCAGTGCCTTTTTGACCTACAAACGTGGCCAGCCGCCGTCGAAGCGGAGGAGGCGGCCATTGCTTTCGCTGCGACCTCAGCCGACGCTCTCGTCATACTCAGCAACTCCAAACGAGTCACCTCGAATTTCTCGCGAGGTCTTGTCTTGCCTACCACCCTACGGCTCCTTCGCCCACTACTGCGGCAAAATGAGCTGTGCCATCTTGAATTGATCTTGGTCCTCACCCAGTCGGGTCACCCCGGCAACGAGACACCTCACCAAAACGCTCGAAGATTTGTCGACCGAGTGGTTGGCCCCTGAGAGTCGGACGCCCCGGTGCCGGTGCCCCTGGTCACTTACCATGACATTACTCTGCATTATCGCCTCGAGCCCTACACCTATCCACCCCCTCACGTCAGTCCTCCCAAGCGGTCCGAAGTCGCCTGGCGTCGCCCATGCAGACTTAAGCCATTCCGTTCCCCTCGTCTTTTCCTGCATCCACCCCCTTGTCGATCCATGATGATGCCTCTGCGGTGGTGTGGCCTCACTGAACCACATCCTTTGGTGCTTCCCAGACGATCCCCCACTCACCGACCTCTTCCGCCCAACCCCTACCGAGGAACACTGGGAGGCTCTTCTTTGCAGCACCAACAGGGACATCCAAACACAGATCCTGAAACGAGCGCAAGACGTGATCGAGACCTGGCAGCCTACTTGGCTTAGATGATTGATTTGTGGTGTTTAACGTCCCAAAACCACCATATGATTATGAGAGACGCCGTAGTGGAGGGCTCCGAAAATTTCGACCACCTGGGGTTCTCTAACGTGCACCCAAATCTGAGCACACGGGCCTACAACATTTCCGCCTCCATCGGAAATGCAGCCGCCGCAGCCGGGATTCTAACCCGCGACCTGCGGGTCAGCAGCCGAGTACCTTAGCCACTAGACCACCGCGGCGGGGCCTACTTGGCTTAGCCTCCCTCACCCCTAACCCCTTCGATGAATTAAAGTTATCACTCACTCACTAAGACTTTAAACTCAAGGCGCATTCTCTATACAACTTGCGTAACTGTCGGCGTCAAATGAAACGTGAGCAGCGGCAAGCATTAGCAATGGCATAGTGCGGGCAGTCCAGTCATCACCGTGGACAGGCACGCATATGCGGAGTGCTGCCGAAGCAGATGCGTGCGCCTGTTCATTATTATTACTGTACAGAACGCACATACTTACTCCTGTGCGCTTTATTTGACTCTGCTCGTCCAGAGTACCTGATAGGCAATTTCAATGCATAAGCAAAAAGTGGATCGAATCCAACTAGTTATCGTAGCCGGGATATTAAATTGCTTCGAATTCTGACGAATGCGTTGGTATAGGCCGTCCATTGCTCTCTTGAATGAATAAATGCCATTGCTGGAAACTGGCGCACATGACCATTGAGTCTGCCTATTTAGATCATGCCCTAGTGTCCAAACGTGATTGTTTTTAACCGCGAACTTATCTTTTAGTTTGTTGTTTCTTGTTTCAGCCAAGTATATATCATCTGTGAAGAATAAACTTCATGTCGATAGTCTGCGCTTGCTCACGTCTGCTGTTGTCCTTGTGGTCTTCCGCGCAGTATACCTTGACCGGAGATGTGAAATGGCAGCCTTGTGAGGTAGCAATGAGATTATTTAGTCATCTCTGTATCAGTAATCAGCGGACTACTTAGAGGAAAAAAATCACAGCACGTCCACAGAGTGAATGTTGATGAGTGGAGCGAAGCGTCTGTCCACCCGTCCGTGCTACCGTCTGTCCATTCGTTCTTGCTTCCATTCATTCGCGTGACCATCCGTGCGTTCATCCATGCCGCCGTTCGTCTGTCCATGCGTCCGTCCATGAGTCCTTCCATCCATCTGTCTGTCTGTCTGTTCGTGCGTCCATCTGTCCGTACGTCTGCACGTCTATCCATCCGTCTGTTCGTCTGCTAGTCTGTCCGTCTGTCCGTGCGTCCATCTAGTGAACGCCTCAAATACCGCCATCTCCCACCTCGCAATTCCTGTGGCACATACCCGCTCTAGAGTGGGTATGTGCCAGCGGTGGCTATGCACTACTGCATAATAACAAGGAATGAACAAACCCACGCCTTAAAGAGACACTAAAGTCAAATAACAATTTATGTCTGAGTGAAAGCTCAGTGTATGACAACATCTAAAGCGACAATATTATCAGCAACAGTGCCCTACTTACCGAGAAATTAAAGTAAAGGCACAAGAACACAAGCGCCCCAGGAGGACATTTACCAAACGATCCCGATGACATGAGACGGACCACCCACAATTAATCACTAGTAATCGATCTAACTATACTAAATAAAGAACGTTCCATGCATTAGGAGACGCAATAAAATGCTGCTTGTTCGTTGCTGTTTGACTGATAAAAAAAACCACCGCACGTTACTATGGAGATTGGCGCGTGTAGTTCAAAAATTTGATTTTCGCGTGGTTACGAGGGACAGGTGGTGCCAGCTAGCGGGGCGCAGTTGAAATAAAAGCGTCTGCAATGTCGAAGCTAATGGCGGGATATTGATCAATGGCCGTTGCTGCTGCTGTGGCTTCCGCTGCTCTCGGTCTGCTGCTACTAGCGCAGTAAAGCCCGGCAACGTTGTCAGTGAAGTGAGACGGTCCGGTCAGTCCGCTTCTTGAGGCGGGTATTTTGAAGTACGCTAACCTGACGCGGACCACTAAAACTTGATTTTATTTCAAAATAGGCCCTTCCTTGGCACAAAAGCAACACTACGAGGTTTCTGGACCACCCGTTCAATTATCAACGTCAATTTAATAGTTTGCTTCAGTGTCCCGATAAGAAGCTTCACCCCTAAAATCATGCTTCTGCGGTATGAAGATACACAAGCTGCAAACGCTTATTATTAGTGCGCTACAATCCTGGTGTCCTCTGCGGCAATGGTCACTAACGCATCAAGACATAAGTATATTGCCACTTTACCACATCACCTCCAGTGTTATACTTTTAGGTAATATTCGTCATTAATCAAAAATGAAATCTAAAAAATAACTTACCTCAACATGCTCTGCCTTGTATATTGTAATACATGGTCTTGTACCAAGGTAGAAGGCGAAAAATCCTTCTTTTTGATACCGCAATGTCAATGCAAAGCGTGACTGCATGTATACTGAAAGGATAAAGGTACACCGAGATGACTCAAAGCATTAGTCTGCAGTCACTATAGTAGAATTATTACTTAATTTTAAGAGGTTCTATTATTCAGAAGCGTGTTACACTCTGTAAAACTTGAAGGCTAAAGCCTGCAGCACTGCCAGTGGCGAATTAAGTTACACAACCTACAAGGCTTGTCTCAAGACATAACAAGCCGCAGTGAGAGAGACACGCGTGAAGTTAGCTTGGCGTGCTCAGTCAATTGCATTTAAAATTCTTCATGCGGTGGAAAACGACGCCAAAGAAGAGGTCTGTATATAACAATAACACTGTGTCCCAACGAGTTATGTATTAGAAGAACAGCAAAAAAAGTTCTGCAGGCGCTAACATTTTTGCAACACAAAACGATAGAGTGGCTGCACTCGTGTAAGACAAATGTACCGCAATGAGGAGGTATATATGTTTGGCATGAAATTGACACTGATAACGTATCATGCGAATACAGGTGTCTTTGTGTGTCATTTCAAAGTTGTGCACATTTTTGTTCTCCTGTAAGTGTTTCTCGGACTTCGCATCCCCAGCTCGGGATTCCCTTGTCCTCACCATCGTTTTCATGCACACTACTCCACAGGGCCTGAAGGCCCCATCGCCCGCCTCCCTGACGCCGACTAGCGTCGCAGACAAACGCCACCGCCACCGCAGCTCCAAGTGAGACGTCAATGTGCTACTTGCGAATACATACTTTTCTGCGCACCTGTTGCTCTTAACGCGATAGCGTTAGAGAGCTCGTGTCGCAGAAATTCCCCCGTCAGTATCGGCACCATTGATTGTCAGCGAAAAATTGTCCGTGAGCGACAAATTGAGCAAGAAGCAAATGAAAAGAAGAACAAAATTTTTGGTCCCATTGAGGATCTAACCTGGGCCGTTCACGTGGCAAGCAGGTATCCTCCCATAAAGCCACAATGTTACCTGCAGCTGCATCGCGAAAAAACACTACATAAATGTCATGTATACGTATAGTGGAAGGAGTCTCCTTTACGTAATTTGTTCGACAGGTGTCACGACGAAACAAGCCCCTTCGGCGATTCGTAGGCGCATTCCGAAGGCCATTAAACTACGTAAAAAAACCGGGATAGTCCAGCCATCGCCGCTAAAAACAAACAGGAACTTTCACACAGCTCTAAAAATGGAAAACTATGTCCATCCAACGGAAAACATATCATACCTTTTCAGAGGCGTTGATCAAGCTAACAGCAAACGCTAGATAATGTTCTGCCATATTTGAGGCATTGGGAGACTCTTCATGGCCTCCGAGATGGCAAGCGCGTGGCGTATATCTTTGATGCCATGTGACTCTTGCTTTAGATCAAAAATTGTATGTAGTATTAGCGTGCGCACGCTGTGGTACAATCTACTGTGTGTGTGTGTGCGTGTGTGTGTGTGTGTGTGTGTGTGTGTGTGTGCGTGTGCGTGTGTGTGTGTGTGTGTGTGTGTGTGTGTGTGTGTGTGTGTGTGTGTGTGTGTGTGTGTGTGTGTGTGTGTGTGTGTGTGTGTGTGTGTGTGGAGGGGGGTAACAAAACATTAATAAGTATGCACTTAGTGGTTGAAGGGCGAACTAGGGGCCGGATTTCGCTATCGAGTTCCACTCTTAAAGGCGAAGCTTAAGCGTCCTCCAATTTTTTTTATGTATCTGGCAGTTGCGAATTCTCCCGTGATGCCCATCGATTGATTGATTTGTGGGGTTTAACGTCCCAAAACCACCGTATGATTATGAGAGACGCCGTAGTGGGGGGCTCCGGAAATTTCGACCACCTGGGGTTCTTTAACGTGCACCCAAATCTGAGCACACGGGCCTACAACATTTCCGGTGATGCCCATCGTAATTATAGTTGCCAAGTACCCCTATGCGTCTGTAAAACAATGCACGCACCTACGCAACTAGATACTTTGTTTATGCGGCTCAATATGATGGTAATGACGATGATGAATGGCGGAGCTCTTTGTAATGGGTTGACGACATTAAACGAACCACTCATCACGCACTTCACATGTTGTGACGGTTGGTACTAGTTACCGCGAAAGCTGTTATGAGATGCAAAGTAGGGGCGCGCGCAGCGCCGTAGTTGTCCGCCACCGGTGTCCGTAACCACTATCGCAAAATAAGAAATAAAATCCTAGTACCAAGGACACAGTGGGGCTCCAGCCCAGGTCTACTGCGTGCCTGCCCAGTATTCTACCACAGAGCCACGCCGGTGCTTGGGACTTGCCGGGAAAGGAATCGCTTTAATATGAATAATAAAGCGCTTTAAAACCCCAAAAGAGCAACGGGGCTTCACACAATGCGAGTAGTGTAACGACTGGGTTGTCAAATGCCCCATTACAAAAGCTTGTTTCTGATCACCTATTAAGTGTGGCGCATACCCGCTTCAGGAATGATTCCTCATATCAGCCACTACATGAACCACTGGCACAAAATTACTTCGGTGGGTACCGAATACAATGCGTCTCAGACTATTGACAGAAAATTGCATAACGAATGCTGGTCTACTACCCAGAAGGTATTATTATTAGTACCGTAGTGGGTACCCAGCAAGTGTGCTTGCAACTGTTACCCTATGAGTGTTAAGAAAAGGCTCTGAAAGGCCGCTGTTCTAGCGTTTGCTGTGACTGTGCTGTGCCTTCCGCGCACGCTTGGCGTTTTTTACGCTTCGGACACCCAATATTGCACCTATTTTCACTTCGTTCTACGTTCCTTCCGGAAGAGCTTGCTTATACGTAACGCTGAGACGACGCACAAGCTATGAGCGTGCATGCACCGTTCTGGAACTCGCTCGCTAGATTTCGTGCCGACCGGTTGTTCCCTCGCGATCTCCGACGACAGTGCACCTCTGGCCGACTGGGCTGGCCCTACGCCATCTCCTGATGCCGATCCCCGACGACGACGACAACGTAGCTCTGGCCGACTGGACTTGCCCTACGCCATCTCCTGACGCCGACAAGAGTTCTCGATGATTGGTGCCCTGTCCTCGGACTCCTGCGACTGTGTCCATCTTTCCTATCTTCTCTTTAATTCCGTCGCTCGCTGTTCCTGCACCTCGCTTTCTCCTTCCTCTCTCTCTATATATACATTTTAATCCTATCCTTTTAATCCCTCTTTACCCCTATCCCTTGTGAGCTGCTGTTGAGGTGTCTCACCTGATGCAGACAGTTACAGGGCTCACTTTTCTCATCTTTTCTCTTTAATAACGACATAAGAAAATATGCAGCGTTTTGCTGGAGTTACTCTACACAGTAGTTCACCATGGCGCGACAGTGGCTACGGTGCGAGGCTGCTGACCCAGAGGTAGCGGGTTCGATCTCGGCTGCCGCGGTCGCATTTCTATTGAGGCGAAATGCAAGAGGCCCGTCTACTCTGCGATCTCGGTGCATATTAAAGAAGACCAGGTGGTCGAGATTTCCGAAGCCCTCCAACTCTGCGTCTCTCATAATCGTATCGCGGTTTTGAGACGTAAACTTCCGGATAATATTATTAGCTTACACAGCAACATTTATCCCTTCATTGCATTCAACGATTACTAATATTTTCGCCTGAAATATTCACGATGCATTGAGCTCAAGATTGTATTGAACAGATACATGACCACCCCGATCGACTTCGTCTCATTTCATCAGGCATTGAACACCAATATCAAAATCACAAAAACTGTTACCTTAGCGCTTATCAAAAAAGATTTCTGCAAGTTCATGTGATCATTAATAATTTGCTTTTCTTTGTCGCTCATAACGCCACCAGGGCTAGCACCTGCGTGCTCTTATATTTCTCCTATATCACTTTTTATATAGCCATGTTTTGTCAAAAATGTGACTAGTTCTTCTTGCTTCATGATTGCCGTGGTCTCAAGCTCGTCAGTAGATGAACATGTTAATGCCAGAAGTAATCATACTATTGATTGCAGGGGTTTAATTTCCGAAAACCTCGATATAATTATGAGAGGCGCTTTCCAGAAGGCCTCCTAAAATTTTGACAGCCTGGGGTTCCTAACGTGCATCTAAACACAATTCTCGAGTATTTTAGCAGCCTTCGAAAAATTCATCTCCATCGACTGGGGCTTTGATACTGCTACCTACGGCTCACTAGTGGACCACCGTAATTACTAAGCCACCGATGAGAGTAAAATGCCAGATGATAAGCAGTCGAAGAGGTGATTTTTTAGCAATGAACGCTGAAACATTTGTGCGAACAGCAGTGTCGAAACAAATGTCACTGAGCGTACAAGGCAGAACATTTTCTCACAGGTGCTGCAACGTCGCCACATCAACTTAGAGCTCAATAAACTAAAGCGCGTACGTTTAGTGATGCGATCTTGTAACATTTTTACAAGAATGGCCAGAATGGTGTTTCTTTGATAGAGGCGAAAATGCTGTAGGCCCGTGTGCTCAGATTTAGGAAACGTTAAAGAACCCCGGGTGTTCAAAATTTTCGGAGCGCTCCACTATATACGGCATCTCTCATAATTATATGGGGGTTTTGAGACGTTAAACACCACATATTGATCAAGAATGGTGTTTCTTGAGCAAGCTTCGCGCGTTCTGAGCCGTCACAAAGTAACATCGCAGCTTCTGACATGGCAGCCAGGGTATTCGTGATGTAACATACGCGCACAGATTGAGTAAAGTTTCTAAAAAACAAAAACTAAACGGTTCATGCACCCACAATGGGTAATGCTCATGTGTCCATTGGCAGAGCTTGACAGGAAAAAGCCCGCGTGACAGGATGATCAGGATGAATAGTTGACGTTACTATACTGACGAACTCACGTTTAGGGAAAGTATAGACAATTTTGAGCCCATTTATCACCTTGATGCGTGGCCAGCGCAGGTGCTGTGGGCTTGATTACGTGAAAAACGATGGCAAGCGAGCACTGGTAGATATAGAACGATGAGAATAGGCCGGACGCCGCCGTGGTCGATCGCTCTACCTTTCCGCCGCAGCCAGTGAAAAATGGCTATTCAATACAAGGAATAAAATTTCTGGTCTATTTATAGCTTACACGTGACGTCATAGGCGCACAGCATGGCTCCAATACGAGGGCTTAGAATGTCAAGGCAGCATAATTACGCGGTGAATGACCTGCTTCAGTGTGACAACGACGTCGCAGGAACGTTATTCGGCCTCTGTGCACGAATAACGAAAAAACCACATGTCATGTACTGATTACATTATTCTAGCATAAGGTTCGAGCTGCGCCTTCTTGGTGCTCCTCGCGGCTGTTTCGGTTATGCCAGTGGGAACCATCTATACATCCTATAGTCGGGCGTCAATTGTCTTACAAGATGTAGCAATATTTTCGTCGCTTTCCTAGCGAATGATGTCAACAGAGAATGGTGTCACCACACTTGGACTGTCATACGCATGCAGACCAGCCCTAGTTATTCAGAACAACCTCAAATTGTCGCTAACCTGCCTCCTTCTCCAGGGCAATGCCCTTGCGTATGCTACAAATTTCAATAGCTTCCTTAAAACGCTCTGGCAGTGTTCCAAACTTGGTGTAAAAGAGCAACTGGTGTTGATACTGCTTCAACATCGAACAGTGCGCCTAATCACGCAACTGCTTTGAAAATAAAAAAAAATCAGAGCATATCCATGGAGTGAATGATGATGAGTGGGGCGAAGCGTCCGTCACTCCTCCCATGCGTCCATCCGTTCGTGCAACCGTCCATCCGTGGTCCCGTTCGTGGGTCCGTATGTCCATCCGTCCGGGTGTCCGTGCTTCTGTTCGCCCGTCCGTCCGTCCGTTAGTCTGTCTGCCCATCTGTCCGTCCGTATCCGTACGTCCGTCCTTGCATTCGTGCATCCATCTGTCCATCCACCCATCTAGTGAACAATTCAATTACCGCGAACTAGCATCTTTTCATCATATATTCATCATATACAAGTATCACCATCCAGCAGACATTCTAAGGACTAAACGAGAGGTGGCTACTACTACAAATATGGGACGTACGATCCATGGCGTAAGGAGCTGTACCCCTAAAAGTGCAACTTAATCATACAACTGCTCGAAAAGTGCAAGTGCTCGAAAATCAAGAAAAGTAGCCACGCTGAAAAAAACACATGCTGCAACAAAGTCACACAGTCGCCTACTTCTCGTCGTGATCAAACTGCGTGACGAAGGTGAACTTCGCAAGGCGCGATGGTTTGCCTTCGTCGAAGGCGGTGGTGACAATGCTCACGTTTTCTTAAATGGAAAATTTTTTGTGTTAGTAACTTTCTTTCCGGTCATCTGAGAAAAAAACGATACGTGCCGACGTAAATACTCAAGAGGAAGAGATTCGGAGAGCGAACACTCACCAACAGTGGCAGGAAGCACGTTCTTCATCGCCCACGCCTTCATCTGCACCTGGAGAATCGTGCGCATCGGCATCCCGCATGCGTCCGGTCCGGGCATGCGTTTCACATGTTTCCACGTTCTACAACAAGCCACGCGTGTTGTCAGAATCACAGCCCCCACGAGCAACAAAGCTCCGATGAGCGCGTAGACAATGTAGAGCATCGCACGACGAGGCAATGGCCGCCACTTCACCAAGTCTGCATTCAAAAGAGAGCCCTTGAAAAAACGCTTCCTTAGCTGTTCCGCAGCGCTGACGAATCTCTACTCTCCCCATATACGACAGCCGGCTGGCTGGGAGGGCATATGCAGTTTATTCAGCTGCTCATCGCTGTTACATATGCGCGTTATCAGCGAGGCTGCCTCATTTGATTTCCCTCGGTACCTTTAGTCACCCTCTTTAGTCCTCTACATGCTCTCCCCTGCATCACGCACCTTGCCGTGTGAAAAAAAAAGAATGAAAAGAAAAACGAAAGAGAGAGAGCGAGAAGAAACAAAGTAGACATTCGTGAATGGTTAGTTAAGCTCGTAAAAACAGTAAGTGAGTGGGGGACCCACAGCAACTATCCCCCGGGAGGAATAGTGGTATCCGTGTATTTGAGTAAATAAGCGCAAGAAGAAATGAAGCCATGTTACGAGAAGGGTTCTTATTTTAGGCCTCGAAGATCTGCCTTCTACCGAGAGAGTGTGTTTTCCAGAGACGCATTTGTTGACTCCGTCGTGCTGATCAACCGCTTTGTAAGGTTAAATCCCGGTCGGAAAGCACGAAGCGGAGGGCTGCGTGGAATCTGAGAATAAAAACAAAAATAGGAACGATAGCGTGGAAATTGCGCGTCGATGAGGCTACGAAGCAACTGTCCCTTTCGACAGCATGACGTCACAGCTCCAGCTTGGCCGTGACTTGTGTTATTATGCACTACTGGACCACGTCCACCCTGCCTGCGGTCACGCGTGATTGCGGCGAGTTTTTCGCGGAAAACAAAAGAATGCTATGCGCGTTGTCCTTTGCTATTTGTGTCTTGGAGAGATTTATTCGAGTGCGGAATGTGTGTGTTGCACAGAGTGACCAGTAATATTACAGAGTTTCACTACTCGGCCATGTTTTAAGAGCGATAGGGCCGTGAGCAGTGTCCTCTGTCTATCTGTAAGGGCTACACATTTCGTCCTCTGTAGGGGACGTTCACCTGCGTAATGACACTGTGACATCATGCACTAAAATTACACCGTTTCGACCTATAAACAATGAAAGGCCCATATTTGAGACAATGCAGCATTCACTCTTGATGAAAAGCATCTGAAAGAGTATTGCCTATGGGGTAAATTTCTGCTATATTCACTAGTCGGTGACCTACTTGAAGAGAAAAAGAGGAAACAGAACGAAAAAGGTTACTATGTCGCAGGCGCCAGCTATATATATATATATATATTTCCTAAGGTGCACTGCGATAAAGTAGTTGAATATAATTTCGCAAAGTTGCTGACTCAAGGAAAAGAAAAAAAGGCGAACTGTTTGAGCAATTTAAGCAGACGCGCTATAAAACGCACCACCTTAGGTTCACAGTTTTTGAAATGCATGTGGGGTTAAGTAGATCCGCTTCTTGAATAAAGGAACCGGGCTATGTCGGAAAACACGTGAGCTGTATTACTATTCTCAGTGAAGTGAATATGTCGAAGGGAGCTTTCCAAAGCCGCTCCTTGAGTCAGAATACGTTTTGTTTGATTTAACTACTTTTGTACGAATCTAATAAGCGTGCTTGTCTTAACTATAATTATGACATTCGAAGACAGTTTTCTGTTTGAATGCCTTGTTAAGTTAGATCATTACACGTACTTTTACTCGTACTACTGTAATAACGTTACTAATATATACAAGATATGAATAACAAGCTGGAATGAGTCAAAGATGCTATTAAAAAGAAAGTTACATCAGGACCAGAGCATTAAATAATAAACGAACATATAATAACAAGAGGGTCACCCCGCAATTGTGGTCTAGTGGCTAAGGTACTCGGCTGCTCAACCACAGGTCACGGGATCAAATCCCGGCTGCGGCGGCTGCATTTCCGACGGAAGCGGATACGCTGTAGGCCGGTTTGCTCAGATTTGGGTGTACGTTAAAGTACCTCAGGTGGTCGAATTTTCCGGAGACCTCCACTACGGCATCTCTCATAATCATACGGTGGTTTTGGGACGTTAAACCCCACATATCAATCAATAACAAGAGGGTCAAGGATCGAATGCACTCACGCGTGAAAAGAAGAGCATGCCAAAATGTGGGTTCTGAATTTATTCTATTCTCAAAAAGTGATCAGTGGGTCGACCGGAGGTGAGTTCTTTATCTTTATAATTGAGGCAGAGTAGGTTGATGGTTTATACTTGAACGCTCACTCATTCAGAACAATATAAAATATAGCAGTTGCGCTGTTCCAAGGTTCGCTTTCGGCGGCGAAACTTGTCAGGTCTTATGACCCTGTTTAAATTACTAGTGGCTTCTTTTAGAAAATCTCGAAGCGGCAATGAGCTCCCCGCAGCAATTGCTTCATTTGACCCGGCCACATCTAAGTTAATTAGAGATGTAGAGATGTAGATTTGTCACCGTCGTAAGTGACATCTCTCAAGCCATCTTTTATTATGTCTGCTGCTGCAGCAAAAGCAGTATAACGACAAAATCGAGTAAATATTCGATTTTCCCAATTTTTGAGGACTTTCAGACGCACTTTTTGAAACACCCCGTGTTGTTGCTTTGAAATTATCGCAAGTGACGGGAATAAATTACAGTATGCAAATGACTGAAGAAGTTCTCCCATTTACTTGTGTGCATAATAATAATAATAATAATAATAATAATAATAATAATAATAATAATAATAATAATATATTAATAATAACATGATTACAAGAAAATCCAGTTTCAGTGGAGTCATTATCAATACATACTACGGGACCTTCTTCTGTATATTCTTTTTTTTGTACATCCTATTATGAAATAATAAAACTTTATACGATTTCATTTGACTTGACTTTGTGAAGTTTTGAGTGGTGGGTGAGTCAACCTTTTCTTTCACGTCATTTCATTGATACTTTGTAAAACCGCGCTATATTTGCGCATGCGTTATGCTGACGTGCTGTTGTGTACTTTTATATTTGGTTTTGCGAGCAACCTGCGCGTCCTTGGCGTCCTCATTTTTTGTTTTCCCTTTACAAGCGCTGTGGCACGTTCGTTTCGGTTCATAAGAAGGGCTGAAATCCCCGTGCACGTTCTGCTTAGTGTAGTATTCCGAGTCGTCTCACCCTTTGCCATTCACTGGACGCTTGCCCGTAAATTCCCACATTTGTTCATATCTCCGAGGCAGGTTTTTCCTGGTCAAGTTTAGCCACTGACGCGTACGCTTTACATAACAGCTCCTTGCCGATTCTGTGTGTGGCCTTTGTTTAGTATAACCCGCTTTCGTGCTAAGGTACAACAGCGTGCGCCATTGTACACTCGCTGCATTTTGCTATACGGGTTCATATAGAGTGGTTTGAAAGAAATCGTACATTCGTGCCTTTTCGTAACCGGTAAAGAAGCTCAAGCGATTCGATCTACGAAAGCGATGCGCAGGCTGCAAACTTTGAAACACATATCTCTGGTTGGTTCACGTGATTACACTCATCCTCTGGTAATTTTTGACGGCGTAGCTGTTGGCGTTGCAGGTAAAACGGATGATCGCCGAAAACTATCGTCCTCATGAACGGGTATCTGCAATAGAGATTAGCCTAATGTCACTACTCGCCGATGGTCCACTGAAGGTGAAGAAAATGAAGAAAGCTACAGAGTGGAGGCTAAGACAGGCGTTAAAAGAACTATAACCGCGACAGTGTTAAAGAGGTCGTTTCGCAGAAATTCCCGCGTTAGTGTCGGTGTCGGCGTCATTGGTTGTGAGAAAAAAATTATATTATGCGTGACCTAAAAATCAAGAACAATGCAAATCAAATAAATAAAAGATAAAAAAGCCTGGAGCAGAGCAGGGACAAAACCAGCGTTGTTTGGATTCAACTAGCTATCGAACCAGGGTCATTTGCGTGGCAAGAGGATGTTCTACCACACGGCAACGTTTATGCTTGCGAAAACGCCGAAACGAACTTCATCTGCTTAGAAAGTGAAAGCAGCTTTCATTCTTCACAAACACACGCGTCTTGTATGCATGCTTCACAATGCAACATGAAATATTGCAGGAAGGAGGAGGTATTAACTTTATTAGTCAGAAAGGGCAGGGGAAATGGGTAAACCAAGTTGGACAGGGGATAGGTTGGGGTCCAAGGTGCCGCAACACTAGCAGACCAGTCCACCAGCTTGGCCTGTATATGCAAAGTCGGGCTCCTTAAGGACCTCTCCGGGGCTTCCGGTGAGCAGTTAATGCGTGGTACAAGCGTCCAGTGCCAACGGGCGTCAGAATATGTGATTATCATAATGACTCCGTGGTTCAAAGCCAGTACCCCACTACAAAAGGCACACACGCTACTGCGCCTATTCCCTTAGGGCTACGTAGTGGGTGCATAACAACTTTGAAAAAGATTTTATGCACTAAGTGTTTGAAGTACGCACTAGGAATAGAATGTTGCTATCGCGTTTAACTCCTGAAGCTGTAGGGACCCTTAGTTTTTTTATGATCACGAATATCCTAGCTGTTTCTAGTGCGCGCAACGCAATAGCTTGGCCGGTGACGCCCTCTTATTTCTCTTCATCACAGTGCCGAATATAAATAAACACTTTAACGAAAAGATAGACAATCAAAGAAATAAACTTATACAAGTAGAGCAAAAGAAATAAACAGCCAGAAAGAAAAGTAAGAAAAAGAGAAGGAAAAAGATAAAGAAAGAGAATCGGAGAAACATATAGAAGAAGTACACAGAAAGAGAAAAATTTGGTAAAACGAAGAGAAAAAAGACAACAAGAAAGAAGGAGACAAAGGCAGAGAATTAAAGAGGAATAGAAAAAAACTAAAGAAGAAGGGGAAAAATATAAAAAACTGAACGAGATGAAGAAAAAGAATCAAACAAAAATAGGGGAAGATGTAGAGAGAGAAACATAGAAGTAATATAGCCCGCCTTAGCCAATAGCCTTGAAGCACCGCCCAGCTTCATTGTACCAAGCTTTCCACCACTTAGTGCAACAACCTTACCGCAATCTTATGTTGCTAGATAGCCAGACGAAGTCATCCCACAATGATTGCCACTGGCGGCCTTGCGTAAGATAACCAGAATTCTACGCCTTTGAATTTCGTCATCTCATCAGGCCCTTCGACGCCCAGCTGTCGCCGAGTGCGTTGGGCCCCGATTGGCAGTTATTCTCTCTTGCCTTTACATATGGCCACTTGTATTCTCTGTGTATTTTACGCGACTTGTTTGAACTAATTTGTTCCCCGTCTGAAAGAGAAATTCTGAAACTAGCGTTTCCCGTTACGCGTGCATTTTTCTATTCTCTCAGCCTGGTGACATCAGTTTCACGACCACTCGCACTTTTCAAGGCGTCCAGCTTATGCTGAGCCTCTTGTACTCAACCGTACGTTTGATGGAAATTTTTGTGTATCGTGAGAGCCGAAGAACAATATGATATGATGGCACCCTCTGCAATATTAAGTGTGCATTAAAAAACTAAACTCAGGCAATATTTTATTGTAGATTCACAGTATTTAAAGAACCATGTGTAAGAAAATGCGATATTTCTTAGAGTCATCATAAAAGTCAGTCCATGTCACAGTTTCCTTCCTTGTGAAATTGCATCTTTTTTAAAACCTTTTGTAATGCGTAAGCTTGACTATGCCGGCTCCACTAGAAAGCCTTCCGTCCGTATGCCGGTCTCATAACACGATCGCCGCTATAAAGAAAATTCAGCAACGTAGAACTTACAATCTGGTCCTTAGATTTGAGCCCCGGTCCTGCCGCGCCCCATGCGAGTTTCTTGACCTTCAGGCTATAAATTCATATTTGCAAGATGTGAACATATGTGACCCACATGAGTGCCCCGTACGTGCGGTGACAGGAGAAATGTAGCTAGATAATCTTCTCTATGAAGGATTGGCTTAACGTCTTAGAGGTGAAATAAAATAACTCTGCAAAAAAAGTGTAAAACCAACAAGGACGAGTATAGACATCAAAAAAATTCAAACTCGGCTAAACTTCAGAGCCAAACAAGTGTTTCCGTAATGGCGTTATGCACGTGCCATGAGGCAGCGGGCCAGACGCTGTTTGATGGCACGCACACGAACTGAAGTACACCAGGCCGACGCTGAACAAAAGCGGCGTTTCGGAAAGTTGCCTTCACCTATTATAAAACACAAAAATTCAATTACGCATCATATACTGCGCCAATAATGAGGTCTACTTAAGAGAAAGGGTGCTTTCCATCAGAAATAAATATTTCTCTGTAATTCAAAGAATGCGAGCATCATATCACTGTCGCCTTTGTAACCGTCACGAAGGAACAGCAAAGCATAGGTCGGCCAAAATTGTGGCGCTCACTCAGACTTGCTTGCGAAATATATTTTGCTGTTAGGGCACACCCGGTCTCGGTCGGATTCACCAACATTTTCCTGAGCGCGACTCACTCGGACTCGCATTCCTGAGAAATTTCTTCAAGTGCACACACTCGGACGAAAACTCACCAAAATATTATTCACCCAGGCTCACTCATACTCAGGCTCACGGCCTGTTGTGAGTCTGAGTGAGTCCGAGCGAGTCTACTCATGAGTCCGTCAGCCTAGAATAACCTTGTTCAACCGTGGTGTCAACGCCCTTCAGCACCAATATCTCAGGTAATCGGCAGTGAACTTCTTGGTCCCATTTGATTTAGTACCTTGAAATACGAATTATGAGTCAGTACAAAGGAGGAAGGACATTTATCTTAGGAGAAGCGGCAACAGAACATATATTTATTAAGATTGTTCCTCGAATAGTTCGCGGAAGCGGTGGTCAAGACACCCGTCTACGTGCTTCCCGCTTCTCATCAATAAATATTGAAATGGTATATCAGCAATACTGCTTTGGAATATGTGTGACTAGACGTGATTACAAACGCGAATACAGGAAAGTCTGATAGCAATTCTGAAGATGAGTAGATAGGACGACAGAGAGGAAAGGCAGGCGTAGCTTACCAATCTAGAAAAACTTTTAAGCTATCCTACATTGGTAAAAGAGGCCGCTGAGTTGCAAAGTTTAAGGTAGAGAAAGGGGGGAGGGAGCAAACAGACACAACGTCATACTCCTCACTGAGACAATATCACTAACATCGTGTTGGCCACGCTTCTGAAATGCTTCTCAGCCAGGTTCCGATGTTGAACTGTATAACAGAATACTCGTCTCCACGGATGTCATCTAATCGATCTGATTGCAATTTAGCGTTTGGATCAAATGTAAGTTTCATCATAACCAGTTACTCCTAGACTCGTTTTCAGCAGACATATCGCTGTACACATTATCGCAGTGTGTGTGAAGGTACATGAGCACAATGCATGGCAGTGCGCCTTTCAGAAAAGCTAAACGAGTGAGTAAATTCCGCTAACCTTCATGCGATCGCTCTAAAGGCGATCAATTTTTGTCATCCTTGAGAAACAATTCACGCAAGCATGGTAGTGTCGTTCATATAGGGCAAAACTGTTTGTATGTATATATACCAGCGCCTGCCCACGTAAAGCTAAAATCGCAACCCTGTCTGCATAAAATCCTACGGAGTATCTTTATCAAACGCTTAAAATTCGAGAGTAGCAAGTAGACGTCAGTTTTTGCGAGCGTAAAAAGTGGAAAAACAAATAGAAACAATCAATAAGATGAAACTAAACTTACCGCCGCGCAACAGCGCGAGTGCCTGAGCGAGATCCCACGCGCCGGCCTAAAGTAACCTTGGCATGAAAACCGAAGGTCAACGGCGAAAGGAAAAACTTCCTTGTGTCCCCGCAGGGTGACAGCACTTCCTGGGCAAAAAAGCGAAAGAAAGAATGCACCTAGAGGAATTGGTGTGTTTTTGAAACACGCATAGTGCTGTTACTGTTGTGTACTTTATTATTATTAATATTATTATTTAAATAAGAAACCACAGACGTTCGTGCCTTTATGGTGCCACTGGCTACTGTTTCTCACTTAGTCAATGAAATATACAATACTGAAAAGCAAAAAGCCCACAAATATTGTAATGCAGTAGCCCTCTACAGAAAAAACACGGAGAAGAAAAAAAGAACAAAGAATTATAGCAAGGCAGAGAGAGAAAATTCGCAAAATTTACCTAAATAGAATAAAGCTGAGAATTCTTTAGACGCCCATAGGATCCACCGTTTTTTTAGCATTGCATCTGCGCAGTCCTGACTTCTGCATACAGTTTCGTTAGGTTGGGCTAGTCTTCTTTTCTTCCTGTATTTCTATCTGCTTCTGTCATTGTTTCTTCATCATTTTTGCTTTGATTGTTTTTCACTTTTAATAAACTCTATTTCTCAATCTATTTATTTCACCCTTTTTTCGTTGACTTTTTCTCTCTTCTCCTTTCTTTACCTTACACACACACACATTATATATATATATATATATATATATATCGTATATATATATATATATATATATATATATATATATATATATATATATATATATATTGAATATTGACCCGTGTCTACATGTGTGGACAAAAACAATGATGGGGGGATTTAGCGGACACCAGGTAGTGGGCCTCTGGCTTGACTCGAGAACGAAGAACATATTGTGGTTCAGCTGTTGAGAACACGCTGCTTTCGCTGCCTCAAGGCGTACTTGTGCTTTGTTCGCGTTGTACTGCGACACTGGTGGAGGTGCTGGCCCGCGACCCCGCCTGATGCTCCACACTCCCACGGGGAGCCGTTCCTTGGTCGCCACAAGAACAGACACCGCGACGACCTGCCGTCGTACCGCCGTACGAAATGCCGCCGTACCAAGAGCCGTCTCCCAACGACACACGGCATTTGCCACATTGCGAGCCGTTGCGGCGTCCACAGCTTCGTAAAACAGACGCCTGGCGCACTGTAGATAGGCATCCGCTTTGTTTTACCTGCGGAGGTGTGGGCCACATTTCCCGCCATTGCTGGCACCGCGTAGATATGTTTCGACCTCTTCCGCAATGGTCTGACGATCGACGCGCCAACGACGGCTACGCACCACGCCGGGACACTCATTCTCAAGGACCCCCCCTTGTCTCAGTCCCATTTTGACATCCGCCGTGCCAATAATGACGACAGTGTGCCTGATTACCAGCCAGGTTTGGGACGTCGACCACGCTCTCCGCCTCCGGCATATTCGCCTTCGTCGCGCCAGCTGACGTCAGTGGAAGGAGGTCACCAAGTCCACGCCGGGGAAACTGAAGGCGGCGACCTCCGGGGGTGAGGTTGCAGGCCGTCAAGGCGACGAAAAAAAGCCCCCGTTACTTGTACCACAGGACACCGTAAAGCCGAGAAGTTGTAACACCGACGAAACTGTGACCACAGATCTTACCGTTTCGGTAGACGGACAGCAAGTAACAGCCTTAGTTGACACCGGCGCCGACTTTTCTATCATAAGTGAAAACTTTGCCGTACGCCTCAAAAAAGTGAAGACTACGTGGACGGGACCTCACCTGAGGACAGCAGGCGGCCAGCTGTTGATGCCTGTCGGAAGGTGTACAGCAAGACTCGACATCGGTGGCTCTTCTTTCGTGGCGACGTTCGTCATCCTCACCTCGTGTTGCAAGGACTTGATCATAGGGATGGACTTCTTAAGAGAATATGGTGCCGTCATCAACATCCCGGACCGTTCAACTACATTCCGCAACAGCCCTGGTTCAGTTGACCGTTCAGACGCTATACGCAACACTTTACGTATAATTGATGATGATGTGGTCGTCCCGCCCCGGTCATGCACTCTTGTTTCAGTAGAAGGCGACAAAGCGTTTGATGGCGAAGGCATTGCTGACCAAATTGGCTCGCTGCTATTTAGTCATGGCATTTTGGTCGCACGAGGTATCGTCCGTCTCACTGGTGGACGCACGAATTTACTTCTGACGAACTTCAGTGCTGAGCGCCAGCACCTTCCGAAGGGCACAGCTATCGCTTCGTACGACAATATTGTAGAAATGCGAGGCAGTTTATGTTTGTCGGTATTGGACGAAGAGCCTTATCAAGAACCAGAACCCATTCTCGATGTTGGAACCACTCTGTCAAAGGACGAGCGACAGAGACTTCTTCAGCTGCTAGCCGAATTCCGCGACTGCTTTTCAACGACATCACGAGTTGGTCGAACACCTTTGACAAAGCACCGAATAATCACCGAGGACACGGTGAGACCTATCCACCAGAACCCTTATCGTGTAGCTTCAAAGGAACGCGAAGCCATACAACAAGTCGCGAAAATGCTTGCAGATGACGTCATTCAACCGTCACAGAGCCCCTGGGCATCGCCTGTAGTGCTAGTAAAGAAAAAGGACGGCACCCTGCGTTTTTGCGTGGACTACAGGAAGCTGAATCGGGTGACCAAGAAAGATGTGTACCCGCTCCCACGTATTGATGACTCCCTTGACAGACTTCGGCACGCTCGCTACTTTTCTTCCATGGACTTGAGGAGTGGATACTGGCAGATCGAGATAGACCCAAGAGACCGAGAGAAAACCGCTTTTGCGACCCCAGATGGTTTATACGAATTTAAAGTCTTGCCTTTCGGTTTGTGCTCCGCGCCCGCAACTTTTCAAAGGCTTATGGACACGGTACTTTCGGGATTGAAGTGGAAGACGTGCCTAGTCTATCTGGACGACGTTATAGTGTTTTCGACCACTTTTGACGAGCATCTCAAAAGGCTGGAAGTTGTTTTACGTGCCATACAGTTCGCGGGCCTAACATTGAAACCAGAAAAGTGCCATTTCTGTTTTCACAAACTTCAGTTTCTCGGTCACGTCGTCAGCAACGCAGGCGTCCGGCCCAATCCTGGAAAAATTGCCGCCGTCGCACAGTTCCCAGTACCATCCAATAAGAAGGCTGTCAGACGCTTCCTAGGGCTTTGTGCCTATTATCGCCGGTTTATCGCAGACTTCGCCCGCATCGCGTCGCCACTAACTCGTCTCACAAGAGATGTTGCTTTTGAGTGGAAAGAAGAACAGGAGGCTGCCTTCAATGACCTGCGTCAACGTCTCCAAACGCCCCCTGTGCTCGCCCACTTCGACGAAGAAGCCCCGACGATGCTTCACACAGACGCTAGCAATGTAGGTCTTGGGGCTGTGCTTGTGCAACGGCAAGAGGACACAGAAAGAGTGATCGCCTACGCAAGCCGAACGCTAACACGCGCAGAGGCTAACTACTCAACAACAGAGAAAGAATGCCTCGCCGTAGTATGGGCAGTAATGAAATTTCGCCCATACTTGTATGGCCGGCACTTCAAAGTTATTAGTGACCATCACTCCTCTTGCTGGTTAACTAATCTAAAAGATCCCACCGGCCGATTAGCGCGTTGGAGCCTAAAACTGCAAGAGTTTGACATGACGGTCGTGCACAAGTCAGGCAAGCGACATATGGACGCTGACTGTCTGTCCCGTTCACCCATTGAGTCGGCAACCCTACCCGGGGAGGAGGAAATGGCATTTCTCGGTGTCCTCGACACGACCGCCATTGCGCAGCAACAACGTGACGACACTGAGTTGCTTGGCTTAATTAACTACTTGGAAGGCAGATCTCAGGCGCCAAGAGTTTTCGCAAGAGTATTGTCATCGTTTTGTTTACGGGGCGGAGTACTTTACAAAAGAAACTTTTCGTCGACAGGATCCGCCTATCTGCTCGTCATACCAGCAGCCCTTCGTACCTAAATACTCAAAGCATGCCACAACGAGGTGACCTCTGGCCATTTGGGTTACATGAGAACGTTGGCCAGAATACAGCAAGGGTATTACTGGCCGAGACTAACCACAGCCGTGAAGCACCACGTTCGTACCTGTCTCGACTGCCAGCGACGCAAGTCACCACCGACTAAACCAGCTGGCCTCCTGCAACCCGTGCAGGTCCCAACAGCTCCATTCTACCAGATAGGCATGGACATTTTGGGCCCACTTCCTATTTCCACTGCAGGAAACCGCTGGGTTATCGTCGCGACGGATTATCTGACCCGTTATACCGAGACAAAAGCTATTCAGAGAGGTACAGCAGCGGAGGTGGCAAGATTTTTCATCGAAAATATTGTACTGAGGCATGGTGCACCAACCGTCATGATCACAGACAGAGGAACCGAATTTACGGCAGCTCTTTTGGATCACGTCCTGATGCTGAGTGGAACAACGCATCGTAAGACCACTGCCTACCACCCACAAACAAACGGGCTGACGGAGCGTCTGAACAAAACCATTGAAGACATGCTTTCGATGTACGTAGACATTTAACACAAAAATAGGGATGAAATCTTGCCATACATATCGTTTGCGTACAACACGGCCAAGCAAGAAACGACCCGCATGACCCCGTTCAGCCTCGTTCATGGACGAGCAGTACGAACTATGTTAGATGCGATGCTGCTGCACGAAAGTGACGACATCGACCCAGACGCCAACACGTTTACGGAACGCGCGGAAGAAGCTAGACAACTGGCACGTTTACGGATCCGCCAGCAGCAAGAGTACGATGCAGGCCGCTACAATGCTCACCGCAGAGCAGTTGTCTATCAAACTGGCGACAAAGTATGGATTTGGACACCCGTACGGAAACGAGGACTATCAGAAAAGCTCTTAAGAAGATACTTTGGGCCATACCGAGTGCTGCGACAACTGAGTGACGTCAATTACGAAGTTGTTCCCGACAATTCGTGTAGTACCAAGCGTCGCCAGCATCATCCTGAACTCGTTCACGTAGTGCGCATGAAGCCTTACGTCAGCGAGTGATTGCGTGAGACTTATATTTTAACAAAAACTGCATTATTGACTTCGCATCGGGTCGATGCTCTTTGA